AACTGGGCTCAGATTCTGGTTCTGTCACTGTCCTCCTGGGCACATCACTTCACCTGTGTCTTGGTTTCCTAATCTGTAAAGCAGAGAAAGGTCATAACTCACGGTGTTGTTTCAAAGACTGTATGAGTCACTGTGTAAAGTACTTTAAAAAATCCTTGGCACACAGAGTGATTAGCATCAGCTATTATGCTCTCAAGTCTTCCTCTAACCTCTGAGCTTGTGATCCTGCTAGATCAGAAGCCCCTGTATCCCCTGGGCTTAGTGCAGCCCTCCATCTGGGAGAGCAGTGCGTAGCCCTTCTATGAGGGTACCTGAGGCACCTGAAACATCCAGCTTCAATGATTCCATCAATATAGACACATAATTCCATCAGCAACTGGTGCTAATGCTGGTTATGTGCAGGATGCAACGTCCAGGATGGAGCTGGGTGAGCAGTGGTCAGTGTGTGAAAGCCGACACTTTCAGGTCACCGTGGGGAACGAGGGCGTGGCCTCGGCTGCTTTATCTCCAGGTGGTCCCCATGCTGTCAGCCATCCTGGTTTCTGGCCCCATTATGATCAGTCTGCATTTGCTTTTGCATGAATTATTTACTGACATGTACGCTCAGCACCCTGTATTCCTAGGGGTGCTGAGGTCAAAACAGCATGTAGTCACACGCCTCCCCTTCAGCGTCCCACTCTGTCCTGACACTGGGTCCTGAGGGAGGCAGTCAGATGGATGTGAGCACAGCTGCCATCTGTACTTATGTGGTGGGCATCAGCCGACCTTTGTCGCCGCTCTGCTAGGTGGGCACTGAGTGGAGAGGATGAATGACACAAGGCAGCAGAGCCTGGGCCAGGGGTCTGACCTATGCTGATGCCAGTGCCTGGTTCAGCACCTCACGGGGGCGGGGGTGGTGGCAGGGGGCAGGGCTTGAGTATAGTTAGACCATTAGGATGTGGAGGGGCAACTGCTAGGAGCCGGGTGGGCCATTTGGGTATGTAGTCACATTGGCAGGATAAGGGGTTCACCCAGAGGTGAGCAGCAGATCAAGTTAGGAAAGTTGGTAAAATAGGGCAAGATCAGCCTTCCAGCATCTCAGTCTAGCCTCCTCTGGAGTGTGGGCACAGAGGAAGCAACAATTCAATCACAGGGTCCTAAAGCAGTTCTCAGTGCAAACAAGGAGGGTCGACACCGCCGCCGCCTGGCAGAGTCCAGGAAATCGGCTGAGGATCTGGAATCTGAGCTGGAATGTGCCGGCCTGATTCCCAGGCCTAGGCTCTCTCCGTAGGTAGAGCACTGCTCAGAAATGCTGAGCCTGCATCAGTCCAGCTCCTGAGTGGCCAGCCCATGCCTTGCCTAAAAGGCGGGGAGCAGAGGCTGCTGTGCACACGCATGTTGTGTCTGGCAGGCAGGCGGGGGGGGGGGATGGGGGGGCAGCTCAGAGGAAGGCTGGTGGGGGGAACAAGGGGCTGTCCAGTAGCTCCCCAAGTACTCTGCTGTTTGGACACCGCAGTAGGAAATGAGACTGGGGAAGGAGACTGGAACTGAAGACCAGCAGGGGGGTGGTGAGAAGCCCGCAGCCATCTCCCAACACACGCCTCCACCTGACGCCACTGCCCCCACCCCAGAACTGCTGCTGGCTCGTTTGTACCCCTGGCTGAGCTGGGCACCTGTCCCTCTCTGCACCTGCCTGGGCAACCCGCTGGGGCAGGAAACTGACAACCAGAGTCCATGGATGGACTGACGCTTCCTCTTGTCCCCACCGTGGACAGTGCCCCTCAGGTCCCTGTGGAACATGTGGTAGACCACCTCACACACACACCCTATGTGGTCTCTGCCCCTCCCATGTCACTCCTGCCATCTGCCCTTTCTTCCTAAGCATGCCACCCCCATATCTGGCTGTGCTGCTGGGTGAGCAGGCCAACAACCCTTTCCTGGAGCATCCATGATGCGCCATGACCCGAAGGTTCCCTGGAAACACAGGCTTTCTGGACAAATGCTTTTAGCCCAAGGCCTAGACAGGATGCTAACCAAGCAGCATCCTACAAGTGGCACGTTAGGGGCAGCACAGAACTCAGCAAAGACAAACTCAGTGTGTAGTTGTATAGTGTACACATTTATTTCTTTCAAAGATTGTTCCTGTTCCAGCCACATCTCCGAGGGAACCTGCTCAGAGCCAAGTGTGAGGGCCTGGAGCAGGGCCGGCTTGTGTTGTAAAGTGCTACCCGGGAGTACAGTCATGGTCACGTGACGGCACCACCACACACCAGCAAGGGCCGGTCCTTCCCACAGCCCTGGAAAACCTTTTATTTTCTTCTCTTTTCAAACTGTAGGTTGACATAACATCAGGGGAGAAACAAACTACACGCCTAAATTATGAATGGTATGTTACTGACCAATCGTTAGCTGAGGGAACTGGGCAGTCTAATGCATTTCCAACGCCTTGTTGGTCATAAAACAGGAACACTAAAGGTCGTGAACCAAAGGTAACCTGAGTTTGCTTCACAGGATGCAAGTGTGGCCTTGCCCGGTCCCTGGCTGCTTTGGTAATCACTTCTGTGCCAGTTTGGGACAGTGCAGATACTGGGCAGAGGCCAGCACTGAGACCTGTTTTCTATCCCATAGGACAAATGTTCTGACTTCCAGCATCAACCAACTGGTACTCTGAGATTTCCAGACTGAAAGCCTTGAGATTTTTACCTCGAAACACTCACTTTGGTAGGCAGCAGTATCAATTAATCTTTCCCTTTCTGCTCAAAAAGAAAATTCACAACTGTCTTCCAAAGACATGGCCAGTAAACGCCAAGCAAGCGTCTCCTCGATGGCACCTAATTTGTCATCAGCTGGGGACTGGCCAGGCAGCAGGAAGGAGGCTTTGAGGGCTGGTTTTGGACTTAAACTCGGAACCTGATGAAAATAAAGTGCTCTGTTGAAACTCTCTCTCACTGCAGGTCTTCAGCTGGCACACGGAGGCTTTGTGTTTGCTACATTAACAAGTCTGCATGCTCACACTTAAAGCTATTTGCATTCCTCTGCCAAGACCAGGGGCGCATCCTTGACGCCAAGGGAAGGGTTTTAAGGGTTTAAAACCAACTTGAGCACCTGGCTCCAGAGAAACAGATGCATGTTAGTCTTAGTGTTCATGAGGAATCACTTTTAAAATATCATTCTGCAAAAATTTCATCAAGACAAAAACCAAAAACAAAAGCCCTCAGCCACTAAAGCTTGTCAGGGAGATGAGGGAACCAAGGCGATTCACACATCAGCATCTTTAGCATTTGGTATATAATCTCAATCCAGCTTTAACCAATTTAACAACATTCACTTTAACATAAATACCCTACATCGTGAAAAAAGAAACCTGGATAAACAGCTGGAAAAGAAACATTCACAGTATCGATACAGCCCCTTCCTCACAGTGCTGCGGGACACAGTTCATCCCCTGGAGACTCCCTGCCACCTTCGTGTTTTCTGAGACTTCAGAACAGGCTGAAAGACAGAAGTGAGTCTGCAGAGAGCACAGACCTAGACACAGGTACTGAACAGATGTCCATGGGCCTAACCTGGGGAGGGGATGGTTCAAAACACTTTTTTTTTAAGAGGGAGAAATCTTAATCTAAAATTCTGGTACATTCACAGGCGGAATAAATTGAATCCATTGAATCTACCTGAATTTCAAAATCAAACAAAAAACACTATGATAAACATATGATCAGTGTCTGAAATTCTGACATATAACATCCTATTAGGATCAATTCTTCTAGGCCATAGTTTCTATCGCACTACCAGCAGTAGGAACACTTCAAGTAGAACAAGATGTTAAAATAACCTTCCATCCCAAAACACACTAGGGATGACTAGCTCAGTGGGCCAACCTGGTGGTATTAATATATTTCAAAACTCCAGGTATTTTTCAATGAGTAAAACTAGAACATAATTTTTAAAAACAAGATAGTGTGGGCTCAGCGCCCATAGCACAGTGGTTACAGCGCCAGCCACATACACCTCGGTTGGCAGATTCAAATCCAGCCTGGGCCAGCTAAACAATGATGACAACTGAAACAAAAAATAGCCGGGCATTGTGGCAGGCGCCTTTTAGTCCCAGCTACTTGGGAGGCTGAGGCAAGAGAACGGCTTGGGTCCAAGCATTTGAGGAATGTACCAGAATGAATGAATGCACCACAGCACTCTACCGAGGGCAACATAATGAGACTCTGTCTCAAAAAAAAATAAAACAAGGTATAGTGAAAAACTCATTTGAAAGTCACTTGATAATTCCTGGAACATCTAAGTTTTTTACATGCATTTTAAAATAAAATGCGTAGTATATTTTTCAAATCTCTCCCTCAAGAAAAAAAAGAATTCTGTAATTTTGGGTTTTATATAGGTTTTAGTTCATCAATGGCTCTATTACCCCTGAAACATTTAATGTTTAAAGATTAACAAGGAGCTCACCTGATTTCATAAAAATGACAGAGGTCAAGTTTTCACAATAGCCTCTGAAATCTCATTGGAGGAAAATGAATCTCATTAATTTGTCAAAACGTTTTGCCCCAGTGACAACTGATCTTCAATGAGCACACCTGCTGGAAGGGGCACCTCTGATAGGAGGGAGCCAGGGTGAGCATGGGTAGAGACACAGCCCGATGAGGAAAGGTACACACAGATATTAACACTGGGGGCCAAGTATCATTTTCTTCCCTGGAAACCAAGACAAGGGCACCCCAAAATGTACCCAAGAGCACTGTTCACAGTAAAATTCTGCAGAGCTTATAAAAGGAATTTCATGCACATTGGCCTTTTTTTTTTTTGAGACAGAGTCTCACTATGTCACCCTGGGTAGAGTGCTGTGGCGTCACAGCTCATAGCAACCTTAAACTCTTGGGCTTAAGTGATTCTCTTGCCTCAGCCTCCAAGTAGCTGGGACTACAGGTGCCTGCCACATGCCCAGATTTTATTTTTGTTGTACTTGTCGTTGTTTAGCAAGCCTGGGCTGGGTTTGAACCCACCAGCCTCGGTGTATGTGGCTGGTGCCATAACCACTGTGTTATGGGTGCCAAGCCACCAGCTGTTCTTAAACTTCTCTTCCTAAGACACCTGAGACACAAAATAATTTTCTCGATTGCCCTAAAAGCTCTCAGTGTTGGCTTTCGGCGGCATTTGGCAGAAACCGCGTGTTCCCAGGTTCCCTGAGCTCTCTCTTACTGCTCCACTTTCCCTTGACAGGCTGGCTGTGTCCGTGTTTAGCAAGTGTGACAGACAGGAAAAACAGACAAATCTGGGCGTCAACCGCCCCGATGGTGGTGTGAGGGCCTCTGACGTGACAGAGAATATAAAAACCACATAGGAATGAATGATCTTCCACTTGTAAGTAGGCTCAAAGTAAACTTAGAGAAGCGTCCACATGATGTGTCTGCATAGGATGCAGGTAGTGTTTGCTTGTGTGTTCACGCCCTGTGGCTAACATTAAAGGCAGACGTGTGAACACACTTGCTGGAGCATCTCCATCTAGCATAATTGCTCTATTTATCAAAAAAACCTGCCTATGTCCCACCTCCCTGCACTCAGGGCCAGCTGCACTTTTTATTCCAAGCAGCAAATTAGGAGAGGTGACCCATCCAGCCCGTTCACAGTGACAGCACAGCGAGGCACCTTCTCTTTGTGACACAGTGCAGGCAAGGGCCCAAAACACTTGTCAGAGGGCAAAGCAGGTACCCCAAACCTGCCCGCCACGGTGCATTAGAGCACATTACTCTACTCAATGTAACTCCCTTTTAATGTTCAGCCTGAGCTCTTAAATAAAGCCCAAGCTGTGGGGCTATTCGGTCTTATTTGGCATCTGGTGGCAAATTGGGCTTTTTCAGTCTTCTCTGCAGGGAGCCTCCTCGCTGGAGACTCAAGATTTTTTTTCCCCTTTAAAAGACCAGATTGTTGGGAAAACCCAGCGTGACAGGTGGACCTCGGACAGCTAGCGCCACTCTCGTTTGGTGCTGGTGGGGGTAGTTAATGTGGATCCACGTCTTCTGGCTCCAAGGAGGTGCCGAGCTTGGGGCTGTGTGTGGGGCTTGAGGGCGCCCCATTCATGGTGCTCTTGCTTCTGTGCCTGGACAGCAGCTTCTTGTTCAGGATCCTGGTGAAGGTCCCCCCCTTCCTCCGGGCCCCCTCCGGCTGCTGCAGGAACACGAGGTCATTGTGTGACTGGCTCATGCCTGGGTCTTTCTGTTGATGCCGCCGGCGGAAGAAGAGCTTGGCGCTTTTCCTTAGGATTCCTCCTATAAAGGGGAGCACAGGGGGCTGGTCAGGCAGGCTGGGGGCGAACAGACACACGACTAGTCCAAAAGGAGAAGGGGAAAGGAAGCTTGTGCACCTCTATGAAGGAGCTGATTTACAGCGTCGATGTCCCATGGCTATTTGCATGAGAAACACATTGGAACATGCCTTTATAAAACTAGAGTTTTTAAGGTGAAATGCAAAAGCAGCAGCCAACAGGAGAAGCCACCAGCCTGGACCATCATCTGTGCCCACTCCCAGGGAAGGGGTTCTAGTCAGTCTTGACAGCAGCAGCCGCTGTCCCCTAGCCACCCAGGTCCCCTCTGCTCACCCCATCCCTTCAGTAAGAGGGTGGAGGTGGCAAAGCAGTGTCGGATCCCAGAAAGGATGGCCACGCTAATAAAGCCAAAGTAGGGACCCTGACAACAACGGCATGCACTACCTTAGGAAGGTTAAGTAATATTTGTTCTTTTGGGAGTCAGAATGCTTTATAGTTCCAGATTTTAATGGTATATAAGGCTAAACCATCTAAAAATTGTTGCTTGATCACTGTTGACCTCAACTTCATAAGGTCTGGCCTGTCTGTCCACGATGTCAGTGAGTGAAATAACATGACATATAAAAAAAATTAGCAGCAGCAACAGCAACAGTATTTTCAGCAGCAAAGATTCCTGACAGGTAAATTGAAGCTAAAGCAGTGGGGTGCTGACTAATTGCACAAATTAGTTTAACATCCTATTTCCCAAGGCCGGGGGAGTAATATTTCAGGCTAGTCTGGGGCATTCATTACCAACTGCTTATAGGTGGGAATGACTCAGAAAAAAGACACCTGAGACACCTTCGATGGGGCCCTTTACATGTAACATGGGGACATGTTCTCTTTGTGATAGGCACATGCAGCCCACACTTCCACAGTCACTCCACACCCAGATCACCAGCCAAGCTGATCCATGGGACAGGGAACAGAATATCAGCTAGCTCTGCCAAACACATGGCGGCAGCCGAGGGCAGTGGGAGAAACTGGACTAGACCTGCCCCGGTGGATCTCTGCTTCATCAACGTGCGTGGGGAAAGCAGCCTACACCGTGAGAAGGTGTCCCTTCTTCTCAAGGAGAAGTCTCCCGGTCCCAGGTGCTCAGCCCAGGTGAAAGGGCAGAAATGGAGAGCTCTGGGCAGCAGAGGCTGAGTTTGATCTGGTCAGTGCTGCCATAAAATAACTATTTTAAAACTCCCTTTAAACTACAACTAAGTTGCTTATTATGAAGAATCATTACAACACTTTTGCAACTATCGAAGCTGGAAGCCATGGCTTCAGGGAAAGGAAAGGGGTTAAGTGGCCAAAGTGCACACGTGACCTCACTCTGGGTAGCAGTCCTGATGGTGCCACTTTCAGCACAGCTGGAAGAAAAGCATTGTGTTGTGGTGTGCTCCATGGCCCGGTCACGACCACTGACTGGACAGAACTTTGGCGGTTGGCCACAGGGGCAGATGCAAGTGCCCTGGGGGAAGTGGGTGAAGCAGGTGCTGGGAAAATGCCCCAGGCACAGTGACAGGCACTCCCAGGCAGAGGAACCCCCAGCTGCCAGGGGCTCTCAGCCCACCAGGGGACCTCAAGTAGGGCATAAGTGGTGTTTCCAATCTGCCTTGGGCCAACCTTGGAGTCCCTGAAGGGCATATGAATGTCAAGCTCCTACATTTGGAACAGAGGGGAGTACCCCCCCCCGCATCCCCTGGGTGCTCTGATGCCACTCCCCCCTCCCACCAGGGAAAGTGAGCACACCAGCCCCTCCCCTGGGTCCACTGCAGCCTAGGGACTTAGGCAGTGATGTTGATGTAGAGTCTGGAGCCAGGACCCGAGGCTGGCAAGGACAGTGTTATGAGCTGAGCTGTGCCCCTCAAAATCCATATGTCAAAGTCCTAACCTCAGAATGCGCCATTATTTGGAGATAGAGCCTTTGCAGATGAAATCGAGTTAAAGTGATTAGGGGTGAGCCCCTAGCCCACAATGCCTTATAAAAAGAGGGTTTTAGAAACACTGACAGACGCAAAAGGAAAATAACATGAAGAGACACAGGGAGGTAAAGGCAGAGGTCAGAGTGACACTTCTAGAAGCCAAGGAACACCAAAGACTGTCAGTAAAGCTGGGCAGGGACCTGCAGCAGGGTCCTCCAGGATGCCAGAGGGAGCAGCATGGCTGGCCTCAGCCCCAGCCCCGAGAGAGCACGTTCCAGTGATCCACACCACCCCGTCTGGGGCGCTTGTTATGCCCCAGGAAATAACACAGCCATGAAAAGTGAGGGGAGCACAAGGATCCAGAGATGTCCTGTCGTGTCCCTGGAACCCTGTTAGCCACTCGGCAGAACTGGGAGCAGAGAGCACAGCAGAGCTGTGTCCTCAGCCCTGAGACCTGCTTCTGTGAGCAGCGTCCTTCAGAAACTACAGATGCCCAGGGCCACCTGAGGAATCCTACACGAGGCAGGCTGGGGAGACATCAGGCATGAGCATTTTTCAAAAGATCCCAGATCTTTCTAAAGTACCACTGGGGGTGACAACCACCAGCCTGAGTCCATCCAAACTGCCACAAGTACTCAGAGCATCCACAGGGCAGAGCAGAGCTGAGTGAGCAGCGTGACCACTTTCCTGTGCTTCCTGGCAAGTCACCCTCTCAGCGGCGTGCAGACCACAGAGCTGTGGGGACAGACACAGCCCCCTGCAGGGCATGTGCCTCGCTCTGAAGGAGGCTGGGTTGCCCACGCAGAAAGAACTGGAACATGGAGACAGGAAGGGCGTGGCTGAGTTCAGAAGATTTTCAGGAGAGAATCTGTACAGTTTTGAGCAGTTGTGGTAACTCGTTTAAGTAAAATTGCACTGTAACTGCCTAAAATTCGAATTATTGTCATATTATGAAATATCAATGATTTCGGCCTGCGCATGAGATTGGTCGGCTGGGAGGTCTGCATGGCTGCAGCCTGGCACTACCTGCCCCAGCAAGCCCCGTGCCTGCCCCCATGTTCCAAACACAGCGCCGAGAGCCTGTGACATGGCCGTCTTCTGATCGTCCGGCCTCACTCACGACCTCTGGAGCAGGTTGGCTGTGCTGAGACCCAGAAGCTGTCGTAAGTACCCTCGTGCAAATCTTCCCCAAGTCATTCACGTGACTTACATGCTTTCCCTTAACTTGATAAGATTACCATGGCTTCTGTGGGGGTGACATCAGCCCCTTGAACGGAGGACAGCCCTGTGGGGTGAGGGGCTGAGCTCTACACCTCTAGGGGCTGGTAGTCCGGGCACATTCCGAACAACCTCTGAGGAAGGAGTGGTCTTGTCCTGCAGTCCCTAAGGAAGGAGTGGTCTTGTCCTGCAGTCCCTAAGGAAGGAGTGGTCTTGTCCTGCAGTCCCTAAG